TTCGACTGTCTGATGCTGGCAATCATGACAACTACTAGGGCAGACGACTTCGGACTTGGTGCGTTCTACATAGTCGCCCTGACAACAAGACCAAGTTGCGAGAGCGAGGTCAACCCACTTCTAATACTCGTAGCCGGCATGCAGAGAAATAGACGAAAAAGATTTCTGAAAGTCTGGCTTCGATATTTACAACATTTGTAACATGTATTTTCATTTCTAGTGAAAAGTTGGTGGAAGGAATTCATGAGATGGTCTCACGATAAACCCAACGAGGTTTGCTTCGGAGTGTGAAGAAGTCCTCAGCTCAACATCTTGCGACCCCGATCAACCTGCGCTAAGCTTACGTCGGTACCGACGCGGCAGATATAATCAAAGCAATAATCCATACTTTATGAAAAATTGCAAAAAATATACTAAACAAAAACAAAAAGTAGGCGACTGCAACCCTAATCACTCGTTATACACCCTTTCCTGCTATCCTAATGAAGCCTCCTATGGTTTGGTTCGCAACCTCAAACTTATTCTTGCAGATGACGGAAGTTAATTCATGAACCGAAAGTGGATTCATTAGCAGTTTCCTCATGTGAATAAACTAGCTGAAGATCCGCTAATGTTGACTCGTGTTTGGGTTTGTACGCTTGTCTATTGTGTGCATTTAATTATCATACCGTGAAGGGCCAGTCCAGCCTCCTCTTGCTCAGTGGCTCTTCCTATTCTCATTCTTTCTCCCTCAACAGCCAGACAGCTCCTACAAAATTATCTACAAAAGTTACTTCAATTCAAGACGTTGGGGGTGTTGGTACTTCTTATAGACTCCTACATTTTGATATGATATCCCCATAACTACCAAAACGCTGCGATTTGTACCAGTCCATCAAGTGTCCTGTATTGACCCTTTTTAAAGGAGCTCAGATTTTGGACTCGCAAAACTTTACAAGCGGTTATGTGTTCGCATGGTCTCTTCTGGATTGGTCGGCAGGTTCGTCGCAGATAGATATTATCACATGAGCACAAAACCTTGTTGCAAGCTGAAATAGAAAGATGGTCTGAAAATTCTCCAAACGTAAGAACTACCATAAAAAAGTGTTCATTTCCCTTCACACATTTTTCTGATGTTCCACTTTCTCAGTCAGTTACTCAACTGTTTCGCAAGCTGACAGGAAATAAAAATAAGGAACCGAGTAGAATGGTCCAATTGTTTATCCCGTCCCAGATACCAAACTGCCCTCATCATTGTAGATACAAAGAGAAACTGGGTTTCGATGAATCTCCTGAGATAACATTGTTGGAGGACTTTCATTTAGTATGAAAGTGCATGAAGAAGAGATTCCTAGGTCGATCTCATCAGCAGCCGTTTGGCTTTTATACGACGTTATAAGACGTAAGATAGAGCTGGATAGTCTTCTTGGCCTATTGTTGACGTGAGACCTTTATAGGAATGACGCCCAGCTCTGATGATGTCCATCATATGATGGACGAAAGCTCAGCCAGTCTTCACTCGAAACGAGGGCAGAGATCGTGTGGACTGCGTCAACCTGAACGTCGTATGAAAGCCAAACGGCTGCATTACAACTCGATTCATCCGTCCTCTCCTGGTGAGATCGAGCTACAAATCTCTTCTTCATGCACTTCCATACAAAATGAAAGTCCCCTCAACAATGGCCTCATCATTTTGTTTAGAAATGATGTGTAATGGTCTACCAATTGTTGAGCCTACTTCAATTTAGAGTAAGTGTTTTTTGTGAGGAGATTCGAGGGTCGATCCCACCAGAAAACGACCAACCGCGGATTTCGCTAGGCCAGCTGTTTATTAGATTTACTGGAATATTCTTGTTAAAGCTGCTACTGGGGCAATCGCCTTCGATTCCGATGAAAACGTGCTAAGCTTTCGCCCGTCGAATAGCGAACACCATCAGAGCAGAGTATCATCCTTACAACCAAATTAAAGATAACAAGTCAAGAAAATTCCCCAACTTATACCTAAAAAGCTGTTTATATACTCTATATCGGAACACTTTGATGAGCTATAAAGTGATTTGGTCAAAGATATGAAGACCAGGATGATGTAGCCTATTTCTTTTCTTTGTATAAAAGTTGTTTCGATCCTGTTTTCGCAACTTGTTCATATAGACAGGAAGACCTGTGGAACGCACCGTGTTCTGAGTCCACAGTATGCATGAGCCTTTCCACAGTCGGACCGTGGACTTGGTACATTTCCAGACGTTTCGCCGGCATCGTCAGTGAGTCTTGCCATTCTCAGCACCAAACTACCACTTGTCAAAGAAACAAGTGAAGTCGATCCTTTAACCAAATGTGTGCTATCTTTCATTCTGTTCTGAGCTATTCACCTCTCCTATCTGCTCGTATCGCCCCTTTAATATCATAAATTATTACTTATTTATTTAAACCAATTTGAAATATATTCACACTCGTCGCGTCACATTGGGGGGCTGGCGCACGATAGAATGTCACAGAAGAGCGATAGAAACGGTGGTGGCCATTTCTAGTTGGCTGTTAGTAGATACGTTTGCTCATAGACGTGGTCCATGACGTAAAGGCTTGAACACGAGATTTACGCCCTGCCTATGCGGCACAGCGATAAAAGAACCTGGAGCGTCAAGTTAAGTTGCCATGACAATTGAGAATCCAGACTTTAGGGGGCTTTCTCGGCAAGGTTTGTGTATACGTGCTATCAAATACTTGATGCAACGCCCTGAGAAGCACGAATACGGTGGCAGCGGTGGTGTGAAATCATTGAGACAGACAGACAAGGAACAGGTCCTACGGATCAAGAGGGGACCCTGATAGGACCTGAAGAGAGAGGATTGCGGATCAAACCGCAGCCTCGGATCAACAGTCTCGGCACAGTTGGAGGAATGTGGGAACCAGCGGGTAGTGTGAATATATTTCAAAGAGGTATAGAAGGGGTGATACGAGGATATAGGTAGTGTGAATAGCCAAGGGCAGTAAGGGAGATACCAAAACTGTTTAGCACACATTTGGTCAAAGCTTCGACTGCATTTGCCTCTTTGACGAGTTGTAGTTTGATGCCGAGAATGACAAGACTCACTGACGATGCCGGCGAAACTTATGGGAATGTACCAAGTCAACAGTCCGACTGTGGAAATGATCATGCAGCTATGGACTCCGGACACGGTACATTCCTCAGATCTTCCTGTCTATGTGAACAAGTTAAGAAAACTAGGTCAAACAACTTCTATAAAGTGATTTGGTAAATTCCAGTCATATGCCAACCTCGGAGCATGTAATTGTATATCAATGTATATTTATATTGCTGTATGTGATCGAATATGTACGAAACCAGCAGTGATGGCTCAAAGGACAGCGTTTTTATGCTCAGTTACGCTTTTTAGAATAAATACGACAAGTCTCTCCAACATAAAAGACACCACTTGACCACATTAATTTGTAGCAACCCGATCTGGATAATGGATCAAATTTCGCTCTAAAAGTTGGCATAACTGAAGAAACTGGCGTAGTTTCACTGAAAACCGTTTTTATTCCCCACTTACTTATTACTTCCCATATCCTTTTAGAGAGAATGCACGAAGGCAAAGACTGAACATGGCAAAATGTCTCCTTATCTCTCCTTACGTATTCACTATTCTTAAAACTATTCTTTATTAATCTAATATTATTTTAAATCAAATATAGGGACTTATTATTTTCAAAAAATATTAGTTTGGGCCGATCCATTTCATTTTTACAATGGCCTCTATCGGCTAGTCTTGTGCTCCGAATAATCATAGATTTTAAAACTCCAACCTTTGTTGTGTAACTATGATTGGAGAAGAAGTTAAGTATAAAGCCAACATGCGTTGGCTTTCTATAGACATTCCTGCTTTACTTCTTACCTGCTCTGATCACTAAGACATTTATAAAGGGTAAATTATTGTCCTTCTACTTCTCCATTGTCAACTTAACATTGCAGTCAATCTGGTTAATTAAGAACAAGAACAAGTGATCCATATATCTAACTAACAGTTTTGATATCAATCTTGCTTCTTCCATGAAGTGTTCCTCCATTCTTGAGATGTAATTATTCGCCAAAATGGAAGCCGAACAAGATCCCATTTCTAGGCCTTGCAGCTGTTCATAAACTTTATCATTAAAGGTGAAGTAAGTGCTGCTCATGGATAGATTAAGAAGCCTTAAAATTGAGCTTTTGTTCAGATTTGCCCCCCATCCCATTAATTTCTGGGGGTTCATCTAGGCTGAGTGTAAGTGCTTCAATAGCTTTATAAACTGGGTTTTTAGTATGCATTGATACCACATCGAAACTAACCAAAAGATCCTCCTCTTGAATACTCTGTTGATCTATTA